CCACTTTTGGAGACTGAATATTGGGCTAGATGATTTTTGGTCTGACTATCTGATGCTGGGCAGTTCTCATGTCCTTATGTCGGGAGAAGTCTGGTATGCATGCATGACCAAAAAGTTAAGCACTTTAGCTCTCCTTGAGTTCAATTGAATATTTAGGCACATGCTTAAATCTCTGCTTTTGAAATTAATGTATGCCCTTTGTTGTTGTTTTTAACTAAGGTTTCAAAGGAATCTGTGTAACGTAAACTTGAAAATAATTTGGAATTCCTATTGTTTTTAGATAATTAAAATAATTATTTATTTTTATTCAACTTCAGTGGTATGAAAGATTATTATATATTTTTAAAATCTAAAAATAAGCAGAAAAATCTTGTTTCTGTGATAAAGCCCAGTTCTTTTCTAATAGGATTTTTCCCCCTTATTCAATTTTATTGTGACTGGAACGCAATTATACAAACTATAATTTGATTTTTTTGGGAGGGGGAACCCTTTTTCAGCTTCGGTGGGGTGACTTCCTACACTTGGACCGAGATAGATAAATGACCACAAGAAAACTTCACAATATTAGTGTTTCCACTTAATGTGGCAATGAGCTCTAATTTGATTGGTAAAAAATTCATTTGGTGTACCTCTGCCCCTTTTCTGCTGGATAATGAAAATTTATATCTGTGCTTTAGACATCTGGGGAAGGCGTGACAGCTTTGGGGCCGAATGAAAGATTATACCACAGTGACCCCTGTCAGCATTTCCTCACACTCTGGTTACCCGAAACCCAACAGCAGTCAAGCATATTTTTTGTCTCTCTCTCTCTCCCCCCCCCCTCTTTTTTTGCACCAGAGCAGACTCTCATTTTATTTTCGAAGGTTAATGACACTGTAAATCTAATAGGCCATTTTAGTGCCATCGTGTGGGTATTAAAAGTCACATGACTGGTCAGACGACCATATGGACGTGGTTTGGCATTGTCTGATACTGGGAATGGCAGGCTGTTATGGGGCTATAAGAACAGAGCCTGTTTCTAATTACTCGCTGACAGGGAGAGCAGCTTTTACATTAATTAATTTGAAACCTGCTAATGATTTTCTTTGCCTTCTTTGCTAGATTTTGTTCTTTGCATAAACTCTTACATACTCCAAGCCCCAAATGATTGGGGTACGAATGATAGATTTTGAGATCTGGTGTAGCGGTATGTCTAGAAGTGTGAGATGTGAAAGAAGATGTCCCCATAGGCTCAGCAGGTGACCTTAGGTAAGCAGCCCCAACACCCACAACTGCGGCATGGGGATCATTATACTGACTTGCTTTATAGGGTTGATGTATCTGAGATAACATATGTGAAGCCTGTGAAACATTCTAAAAGTTAAGTGGGTTGCATGCAGGCTTTGCCTTCTACAAATGGAAGGGATCCTTCCATTCACAGAAGGCTTCTGGTCCACTGATGGATTCCTGCTCTACAACAGAAAAGAGGCAATTTCATCTCCTCTTAGAACCCCCAGTACCCCTAAAAATCTTCTCTGAATGGTTGGGAGACTCTCCTGAAGTGTTGTGAATAGTACTGAGAGTTGCAGGAGGAATGGGGAACAAATAGCTGAACATCACCTTCCCGCATTTCTGAAGCAAGAGCATCCACTTGGGATGTTACCACCAGCGAGAGCCAGCTTAATGAAAAAACAAGTATTGGAAGCTACTTCAACTCTCCATCCTACCCAATCTTCTGTTTAATTACACAGAAAGTAATGTTTAATTTGGCCATTTGTGTTTCACTTGCAATTAATTTTTCAGTGGCAGTCACTTAGGTTTGTTTTGTTTTTTTTTTGTTTTTTTACTATAGCCTCAGTTGGCTTTGACTGTGAATGTGGAGATGAAGGAGGTCCTGTGTGTCTGATGTTTCTGCAGTTCCTCTCATACCAAGAATGATTAAGAGTTTAGGATTATGACTGAATTTACTCATATAGCTGTCTTGCCTTACTTCTCAAATGGAATAGAGATGAAATTCATCATTCCCTCACTACTTTTATGCTGTATTTATGCTGCTTTCTGCCAGTGTTGGTCCAAACACATGGATAACTGGTTGGGGGGGAGGAATCCATATGGCACACTTGATAGCATCTGGAGTTTTCCTATTAAATTTAGGTGAACTTAGTCCCCCTTGAATGGCCTTAGTCAAGCAGCCTACTCCCAGTCTGACCTGCTTCTCAGAATTCTAGTGGGTCCAGTTCATGCCACCATTTTGTACCTTAACAAATTTCAACCCATTTTAATTTTTTGTATGAAAGAAGAAAAGCCAGAGATGTTTTGTACTATTCTTTTTATTCCAATGTTCAGTCATCCTTTTTCTGTATTTATTTTCATAAATTTTAATGAAGATTGATTTTTGCACATGAAATGAAGGTTCAGTTAATTAACATAGCCAACTAAGTCATGCACAGAGTAGACCCATTTAAATCAATGGACCCTTTTAGAATATGATAGCTGCTTTATTTAGTTTGCCCATGCTATTTTTTAGACAAACTGCTGTGGACTGAGCTAGTTGGGCCAAGCTAGTGTTTGGAAGACGGAAGTTCCCCAAAAGTGTAATGCAAATTCCTACACGAAAAGGCAGGAACTGTGCACAAGAGTTCCCTGAAACTGAAAGGCAAATAACATTCCTCCATCCCCAGAATTTCTTGTAACGTTAACAGGTTTTTTAACAGACTAATGTTGATAGGGTTCCGTGTCAGTACTACGTTCAAAAACAACTAACTGCCTTGTACCACTAGAACAGTGGTTCCCAATCTTTTTTGGCCATGCCCCACCTAAGCATCTCTAAAATCCTGATGCCCCCTCCCACAGGACATATAATTCTTACTATTCAAAAAGTGAACTCCTTTTCAGGCGGAGGAAACCTAAAAGGCCATTCACTGTTAATAACTCATTCTCAAATTGCCCCCCTTAAAAATCAAATTGCCCCCCTGTGGGGAACCACGGCACTAGAATTAATTTTTTTTAATCTTCCAAAATCATGTTTACTAAACCAGAATAGAAAGTACTAAGAAATCCAAGGGGAATCTAGACTACCTTTGACATCCTAATCAGAAATTAATCAAATTAGGTGAGGAAAAGCAGTCTGTTTAGACTCTGCCACTCTTTCTGTCAAATAGAGACTAGCCTAAGCTATCTTATCTCTGAAGAGTGTAGCAAATTTGTCATGGCAGCCTGATGAAAACGCCAGCAATGTAGCATTAATCAATCAGACTGCATATTGTCCACACCATTTTGTTTTTAGTTGAATGGTTTCTGCAGGTTTACATGACATTTCTTGACCTCTGCTGCCTTAGCACCTGTTCTTCTATAGAAGAAAACCAGATTTCTTCTGAATTGCTATTCATTTTCCAATAATTTCAATGCCAACAAAATGTGATAGTCCCTAAGAAGCCCGCAAAATGCAGCCTGCTTGTAACAGGAGGCTTGATCAGCAGTCCCTCCTTGACTTATTTTTCATGTGTAGGCTGCTCTATACGTGGTTGATTATTGTCACATGTATTAACAAATTTGATTGTTGTCATCTGTATTAGAAAGCTACATGGAGGGCAGGTGGTTAGAGCATTTGACCACATTCAAATGGTTCATAATGGATCAGGAATACAGGGCCCAGTGAATAGTCTGGGAAAATCTGGCGCTAAAGCAGGTAAAGACCTATCAGCAATGAGGATAGGAGATAATCAGAAATCCCATGCAAGTCTGGAAGTTTAAGTGGCAAAAATTAATATTTAAACTGTTGAAAAGGAAATTAAAAAAAATGGATCATGAACCTGGGGATTCAAACCTCATTTTAGCAGCAGATTTAGTCTTCAGTTGTCTATCAGCTCTTACCTTCATCTTTTGTAAAATAATAACATTAAGAGTACAACGAGGGCATATATGTCCAAAACTGTGGCATGTTTGACAAAACTAATTAGTTAATTAGATTAGCAATAAAAATTGGTGGTTTGTTCATGTCTAGTATATGCTATAATGTACTTAGTTGCAAATAGGAACTTTGCTGAGTTTATATAGATATTTTAATATAATGATGACCCTATCCATTTAATAGAATTGCAAAAGTCTGAAAGTCACATACTTGCATGTTGTACATTAGGTAGTTGTTAAATGACAGAGTTATCATTTGTAAGACAGCTGTGCATTGAGGAATAGGATTCTATCCAGCAATTTATCAGGGAAACAGCGGCTGATCTATACATTCAGAATAATAGGAGATTCAAGAAAAAATGATCTGACAAAGCAGCTGAACGTCCTCAGCGTTTGTATAAATCCTGGATTACTTTTGTCTTTCAACTAGCACTGAGTAGGCTAGTTGATTCCTCCCATAAATGTTCAGGTTGATAAGCAATTCGGGTCTGTACCAGCTGGGAGTACAGGTGTGGAATAACATGTCTGAAAGTTCTTCCCAATTTAAAACCATCCCCTGCAGTTAGCCTGATGCCCTTGTTCTCTGCATGCAGATAGGTATTTCTTTTATTGTGGGAGAGGATCTTAATGTGCAAATCTATACCCACACCAGTATGAAATGGTACAGACCCAACTTCTATCATGTTGATAAAAAAGAGGCAGGGACCATCATATGCAGTGCTTTAAAATAGATATAATTGTTTTAGGATTTGTTTGTTTGAGTGCAGATACAAAAAGAAAGAAGCAATTCTACTGCAGAAAAGGTTTAGTTAAAGCACAGCTTTCTAGTAGGACATGTGCTGAACTTCTGTTCCTCATTTCATAATTAATTTTTTGATTCTAGTGATAAACTTACTGGAATGCATCCGGTTCTGATCACTGTAGAGACTTTATGAATGCAGTGGACATGGCTGCATATAATCCAAAATTGGTGAATCATTCCAAACCTCTGATGATAAATTCCCCAATCCCAATGCAGAATTCAGTGTCATCTTTTGTGTAGAGGTGTTGACACACACTTGAAAGTGTGAAAGATTATCTCACAATGTATTTTGCAAGTGTTTGCACCTCTTGAGAATAGTTTTCCTAGCTGATCTATATATTAGCCAAAATGTGTTGTACTCTCAGATCCAAAAGCTAAACAGTGTACTAACCCCAGGGGAAAGAGTCAACATATTTTCTTCTGAGTGTGATGCAAGTGAACAGTGTTGCACTTTTATGCCTGGTACTTATTATTGATTACCATTCTCCTTTTTTTAAAGAAGAAGGTGGAGGACAAAAACACAAACTGAGTGGCAAAACAACAAAAATACCCCCCCCCCAAAAAAAACCCCACTGTACCAACAAAAGTGTCCTGCATTTAGTCTTTTGGTTCCATGTTCTGAGAAATGGCAAAGTGTTAAATCACTGGAAACCACATCTGGCCTTAAGCTTCTAGGATGCATTTGTCTAAAAGTCATAAGCCAAACTCCCTGGATTGGAGTAAACTGTTAGATGCCAATGAGGGCAATATGCCAGCCTTGGAATTAAGCCACATTATATCTGATGTGATCCAAATGCAAGACATCCGTATTTCTCTAGAGTGGTTTCTTTTAATTGATTTGGCAAATATTAGGTCTTCTACAGGATGGGCAGTACATTAGTCATTACACCCTTACTTTACCCTGAAAGGAAATTTATTGTTCTTTTGTAATGAAACAGTAACTATGTGTGTGTGTGTGTTGGAGGAGGATGGAATAGTTAACAGTAGCAGGTAAAAGGGATCAAATTTAGCTGTCAACCATGTTTCATGAGGAGCTTTAATAATGAGGCTAAAAATAAATGGGCATAATACTCATAAGGAAATCTTGAATTGGCTGCTCTCTTTAATGTTGACTGAGCCAGTCTGTAGGGCTGCCAACCATCTTTGTCCTAAGAGAAAGGGCTTGAGGAAGCTGTGAAAGTGAGACATTATAATCTTTTGAGTACCCAAAAGAGAGTTTCCATGGATTCATGTGCAAAACTCCATAACTGCTTCCTCTCATAATAATAGCACCCACCCCTGGCTTTTTATACCATGTCAAATGGGTTCCTCGGAAGAATTTCTACCTCTTAAAAGCTGAAGATAGGTGTTTGGCTTCACTAAATGTAGACACATTGTACTTCTCAAGTGTCATACGTTTGGATTCCTTATTCTTAGCAAATAATATGTGGTGAAGGACAGCATGCCTTGAATAAACGAGGGGAAATAACACACACACACACACACACACACACACACACACACACACACCGCACACCAACACAGAGGTATAGTAAATAAAGAAGAATTGAAAATGTGTGGTTATGTTTCATAACCACTAAGTACAGGGCTCTGTTTGAATTACTGTTGAAAAATTGCACCATTGTTCCTGCCTTAAATCCCAATTTTGGTTAATTTGTAATGGACCATAAAAACTCACTGGTCTATGCCTTAACATTCAGAGCTACACTTTGGAGCTGTTTAAAACCACCTCAATGCAAATTCATAATAAGTGGCTCACAGCCATTCAAATGCAAAACAAATATTATAAGGAAGCAGTGCTCCCATTCCTAAAAATAAAAAAAATTATGTTCACATACTAACGTTTGGAATCTTTCTCGATGTCATAGAGTGTGCAAGTTGACATTATCCCAGTGCAGACCAGTAAGTTGAATGCAGCCATATATTGTGTATGAGAGACTAGACAATGTCCCAGATTTTGTAGTCCTGGATAAAAAGCAAACCCAGGATATTTGGTGAATTCCTCACAGGCCAGTATGTCAGCCTGGCAGCAGTCAGCTTGCTAGGTCACAAGCTTTGTAAGCATCCCAAATATGTTCATATACAGTGTGTAGTTAAAAATGCAATTGGGTGATATCCAATTATGCAGCCCGCTTGCTTGCACATACAGGACTTGACTTTCCTCCCCTGCCCCTGTGTGCCTCCAAACTCTGGTGCAGATGGTTGGTAAACCATCAAGAGCTTATTGGGAGGCTGCAGGGGGGAGGTGCAAGGAGAGGAAGGGGAAATGCCATGTCTGTTGGTGGGATGTTGAATCTTACCCATTGAACATATTCTATTTTCTACACTGAAGATGAGATAGAGATAAATATTGCACATGGCTGTGGATAATTGCTTTTCCTACCCTCCTGGACCCATCAAGATTGTTGTTGTTTAGTCATTTAGTCGTGTCCGACTCTTTGTGACCCCATGGACCAGAGCACGCCAGGCACTTCTGTCTTCCACTGCCTCCTGCAGTTTGGTCAAACTCATGCTGGTAGCTTCGAGAACATTATCCAGCCATCTTGTCCTCTGTCGTCCCCTTCTCCTTGTGCCCTCCATCTTTCCCAACATCAGGGTCTTTTCCAGGGAGTCTTCTCTTCTCATGAGGTGGCCAAAGTATTGGAGTCTCAGCTTCAGGATCTGTCCTTTCAATGAGCACTCAGGGCTGATTTCCTTCAGAATGGGTAGGTTTGATCTTCTTGCAGTCCATGGGACTCTCAAGAGTACATGTCCATAATTAATGTTTAGCGTTCAGCTCTCTGTATAGAAGCAATATTATGAAACATATTCAGAGTTTTCAAAAATGTATTCAAAATAGGGGTTCACCATTACTTTTCCATCTGGGAAAACCAGTCATAACCTGATACCTGCAAGCAGCTACCATAGACCCATTCAGTTTCCAGTCTCCATCTTGGGACTTAGTCTACATGCAGAGCCCATGGTTTCTACATCCAGCACGTTTTGCTTTTCGCCACATCCTCCCACCTGCTGCTTTGTATAACATCTAGTTTGATGAAGAATTCTGGAGAATGTAGAAGCTTGTTCATTACCGTATTTTTCGTTCTATAGGACGCACCGGCCCATAGGACGCACCTCGTTTTTTTGGGGGGGGGAATGAATAAAAAAAATTATTCCCCCCCCCCCGCGGCTGCCGCCCCAAGCCTCGCGTGCGTCGGGCTGCAGGCTGCCGCCCGAAGCCTCGCACGCTCGGCGGGACCTCCTGCCGGGCGCGCAAGGCTTGCAGACACTCGCCCGAAGCACGGGGAGCCCTCCGGAGGGCTCCCCGTGCCGGGCGACAGGCTGCTGCCCCAAGCCTCGCGCGCCGGCGGGACCTCCTGCCGGGCGCGCAAGGCTTGCGGACACTCGCCGGGGCTGCAGGCTGCTGCCTGCACGCCTTGTGAGCCCGCGGGACCTCCCACCGGGCTTGCAAGGCTTGCGGATAGCTTCTGAAGCCTGGAGAGCGAGAGGGGTCGGTGCGCACCGATGCCTCTCGCTCTCCAGGCTTCAGTGAAAGCCTGCATTCGCTCCATAGGACGCACACACATTTCCCCTTCATTTTTGGAGGGGAAAAAGTGCGTCCTATGGAGCGAAAAATACGGTATTTTGTGATTTTGGCTGGACCTAATACAGGTATTACCAAACTCTGAAATTCAGAGTTCTGTGTCCAGAGATGAGAAAGATTTTGGTTGAAATCATATGTGTGCCTACCTAGGAGGAGGTCCCACTGAATAAATGCAGTGGGATATATTTTCAAGTAAACATGCATGGGATTGCATTGTCAGAACCAGAGCATTTTCATTTCGTTTGAGCTGCTGCCTGGTCTTGTACCATATAAAGAGACATGCATACAACCTGTGTTGCCCACAGCAGAGCATGTTGTCTAATAAGTTCTAAAAGTCTACTTTTGTCATATAGTACATTATGTTTAGAAAAGCACATGGGGACAACGCATATGATTTGAGGACAAGAAGCTCCCTTTCTCTGTGTTAAATTGATATGATATATTTTTGAATTGGGGTGGCGTGAGGCTTCATATGGCAACCTTTTTCTGTCATTCTTCTCTTGAGAAGCATTCTTGTGAATGTGGAAAGATTTTTAGGGGGAAAGATAACTGAGATGCGGAAAGCTTATCTTCACCACTGGTCAGGGTAATACAAATGAGCACTTTACCAAGTGAATGCATGCACACTGTACTAACTTATATCCAATTCAAGAGCTCACAGATCATTGGGGAGGGCATTCATTAACTTTCATTTCACAGGAATCGAGCAATAGCAGTTATTCACAGAAGGGCCATGTGCTTACAAATTGAACCTTGCAAAGTATTGCATGGCACTTATACAGCACCCACAGTATGTCTTGTGCTTTCCTGGAGTTACTTTACATAATTCTATCCAAAAAGCAATGGAGTGCCAGTCAGGGCAGAAAATAGAACCACAGCACTCTCACCAGCATGCTGAAAAGCTAGCTATTTTTCTGAACTATAGGTGCATCATGTGTCTCAAGATGTATTGGAAGTGGCATGAATTGTAAAGGAGTTCAGAAGGCCCCCTGTCAATGCTCTGCCTAGCTTAATTGCTATCAGTCTCCTACTTTCATGAGCCTAAACTTCCTATAGTCCCCAAAGAAAGATAAATAAAGGCAAAGTCACATTACCCCTCAAGACACAGGCCGAGGAAATGATTTCAAATCAAATATATCATTGCAGGCAGGAACAGAAATTGTATGTCTTTTTCTGGTGAAAGTGATCTCCCAGTTGGCAAAATGTGTGACCGGCTTTCCTTCCAGCCTATCAATTAAGGATCTTTTTGAAATGTCATAATTGAGACAAGTCATAGCAACGTCTTATTCCTCTGGTGCTGTGCCAGCCATATAGTAATTCTTGTCAAACTTAAAAAGGAGAGGCTGTCTCTGCCGTGTTACTGCAATGCACAAATAGTATATATGTATATGTATTTGCATTGCTGTGTATGTACACTGACTAGTGTTCAATCTCACCCCTCAAAATCAGAGGGTAAAGATCATGCATACTGGGCATTATATGTGCCATTTACACATTACAGAAAATACAAGGTGGTGAGACAGAGCATGGGAGATCCTGCCCCCCTGCCACGTATTTCATAAACATAGGTGGCCAAGCTTCTGCATAGGCCTTTGGTGCCGGGTCGATCCCACCATTAGGCACGGTGAAGCAGCTGCCGCAAGTAGCAGCTGCTGGGGGTTGGTGGCAAGGTGCTGGAAACTGAGGTCACATCCACTGTGTACATTTAAAGCACATGACCTCCCCCAAAGAATCCTGGAAATGTAGTCTATCCCTCACAGAGCTACAGTTCCCAGCACCGTTAACAACCTCCAATTCTAAGGATTCTTTGGAGAGGATTTAAACATATGCTGGGGATGTGATCGAAGTTGTGTGCAGCACACAGCCTGCCCTGCACCCTCTGAGGTGGCCTAATATTCTCAGATGTGATGGAGAATGCTGTCCTGTTACTACCCTGTTTTCCCGAAAATAA